GGATAGATGAGAGACTGTTGTGAAATGGAGGTGGGAATAGAGGAGGAGGAGTTCGATCCAGACACACTAATTGGAGGTCTAACCTGGGAACAATTTTCAAACTTTTTGAGGCGAGAAATCAAGCAAGCAGTTAAAATTGCTTGTAACAACCTGGTGAAAGACTATCAAAATACAATCCAAGATGAAGCCTTGGTCTGATCCAGGAAGAGCTGTTTGTACATTTGGGCTAGTGCTAATTTCTCAGAATCATTGGCAGTTTTGAATATAATGCAGTTAACCAAAAAAAAGTACATCAGCCACGCTTTATGGAATGCTTTGAGAAGAATTCAGCATTAAATATCAGGATATTGTGAATGCACAAAACTTCACGGTTAAGGTAGTAACTGAAGCACTGACTCCCAGGTCTTGAGTGTGGTGGTGAAAAATTTGTTCTAGTCCCTGGGCTGCTTCTAGCCCCGAGAGCATCATGTCAGCATATTGCACGTAATGTTAGAATTGCCCCTTAGTAGTTCCAAATTATTTTCTGGAAACTGCCATCTCCCCTCCCTCTTCCTTTTGTATTACGAACATATTTGTTATGCATTGGATGCAATATTTGCTGGTCTCCACTGTCCTAGGACTCTGCCTTTAACTGGTCTGGTTAAGAGACCATATTTTCTCACTGAATATTTCTCACTGAATCCCCACAGAAAACACAGCAGTGGTGAGCAAGATCCCACCACACTTCCATCGCCACCACTCCTTTCTACAGTGGATGATCATAATCAGGTAAGTGACCAGTTGTGCTGTGCTATTAGGACAATTAAGAGTGTTATCACAGGTAATGGGCATGTTTGGAAACTGTTGATTTTAAGTTTACCACCAGTCTTAATTTTGCCGGAACTTTAAAACGAAGTAGTACACTTATTTAGAACATTTATACCCCCCTTTTCTATTAATATCATACAGTGACGTATGAAGTTATAAAAAAATGGAGCACACATGCATGGAGCACAAACGATGGTTCTTGGCAGCTCTGCAGAGGTTTTGAGATAGATGAGCTCTTGCTGGTTCCTTAAGTGTCTAATTCTTTGGAGTGAAGGGAATGGATTTGCTTGTGCTTTTCCAGCAGGCTTCATATTCTAGTTAAATGTTCAATTACTGATTTAGAAGGGCTGAGATGGATTGGGCCTCCCTCCCCACCACTGCTGTTGGTACAGGCTGGATGGTCTTGCTCAGCTGGGGTGGCAGTGTAGCTGAGGCCATATGGAAGAAGTCTTTGACCCCACCCAATTATTCTGTGGCTTGGAATGGGTATGCTCTTCCTCTCTGGCAGTGCTCAGGATCACTGTAGGGGGAGCAGGAGGAGGTGGTGGTAACAACAGGGAGGATCTGGAGTCTGTCCATTTCATTGTGCTTCTGCTCCTTCTCTCTTAAATACTTTACCTGTGAAAACAGTTCCTGGAATTTATGACTTCCATGATCTAACATGGTAAAGAAGGGGGGGGGGGGTTTGCAGATCGCCAAAATCTGTTGCTAGTGCCACATTAAGTAATGTGGGACAAAGCAGACAGTCCCGTAGTCCAGACCATGTTCAATGACATAGGATAAAATAGCTCCGATGAGCAAAGAGTGCCAGGGGTCATCAGAGGCAAGCGACCCACTCTGCCATCACTCCTAGGGGGAAAGTCACAGCCTGCCCTTGGGAACCAACCTGGCCCTGACAGAGGATGAAGTGCACAGAGGCTCAGATGTCCATCTTGGTCTCTTTCAGGACAACAAAACCAAAACCTGGCCTCCTAAAGCCCCTTGGCAGCACACACTGCCAAGTCAAAGCATGTCTTTGTACCAGATGAGTAACCCTGCCAGCCAGTGGAATGACACCATGCAGATTCTGCAGTCACCAGTTTGGTCAACAGCCAATGATTGCACTCCATCGACAGGGATCTCCTCCACTTTTGCCTACGCGCAGCAGCAACAGCAACAATCACCACAGCAGCAGCAGCAGCCGTCTCAGCACAAACCGATGAATAAGGGCTTTAAACCTTTCCCGGTCAAGCACGAACGTAGACCATCCTATATGCATCAGTACTGACCCTTCCCCCCCACCAGCAAGATACAGCAGCAGAGGACCAAAGTCTTCGACATGATGAACATTCATTTGTTTTCCAGTTGTGCAGTGGTGGCTGTCTTCTGGTTGTTCTGTGGAGTGACAGCTTCTAGTGGTGGTTTCTCTCTCAGTGCTGAGCATATGGTGCCAAGGTATTAGGTGTACACACAACAGCCCTAAACTGTGATGCTTTCAAAGTGTGTGGACTTAACTTTTACCCTGCTAAAAACAAAATGACAAAAAAACAAACCCTGCTACATTATTACTACAGAAAAACACTGTATTTTATAGCTATTTTTTCATATAGATTTATAGTTACCATTTCTTGCTAAAATGAATTTTGAGTACTTTAAGCGAATCTCGCAGTCAAGTTTTGCTCAACACTCATCTTGTTTAGATTTCTAACTGACAAAAGATTAGAAGAAAGGCTTCACGCAGGTTAACTTGCGCTGCTGGAAACTTTTTTTTAAAGAACTGCATTGGTTGTTAATGTGCCACACAAGCTTTTTGTGACAGCAGTGGTTCAAAGGCAGCCACAAAAACTGATCTTTCCAGTTACTTTATTCATGCAAAAATAACAAAACAGCTGGAACTGTTCCAGTTAGGTTGCATGTGATCGGCCATTCAGTGGGCCCAATCCACCTGTGACCTATGCTCAAAAGCCCCACAAAGCAGTTCTTTGGTGGATTGCATTCATCTGTGGGTTCTCACTACGTTTGAAATACGCAATTTGATACTTTTACATTTGGCCAAAGGCATTATCCATACAGTGCTCCTTAAATGTGTGAAAGAATAGTTAAGACTACTTGCAAATGTTTAAAGTCTTATTTCAGTGCTAGACTTAGTGTGTAAACATGAGCTGGCTCAGAAGAGAGAGAACTTAAAAACACTATTTTTTGTAGTGCTAGGAATTAAAGTTAACTACTTTCAGTCAATATGTGCCATTAAATAAGTGAACCTGTGGAATTAGGAACTATCTTCCAACCAAAGTGGATCTGGGGGAGTGACTGGTGCTTAAATTGAAAACAAAAAGGTAAATATGTATAGTTATCCCATTGTATATTAATTGAGGCAAGAGAGGTCTTTATAAAAAAAACCTATTTAAATTTTCATATTTCATCTTTGGAAGAGTAATTATAAACCACAATATTTTCTGGTATAAAGGTTTTTGACAGTATTAATATTATTTTTATATTTTCTTAAGTCATATCATTCTAATACATTGACAAGTAAAATGGGTTATTAGTTATAAATGCATATAGTTTTTTGATGAAGATAAAAGCACATTTAAGTTCCCATTTTCTACAAACTAAGTACATGTGTATATTAAAGATACCAAATTATATATAAATGAAAAGATACACAACACTAACCGTTTGGGTAGGGAGGGTCAAAGCCCCCTCCCCCACCTTCTGCTTGTGTAGCGGTGGGCCATCTTGGCAGGCCTCGAATGTTACTATTTGTGCTGGTTGAAGATGCCAATGTTGCCTGTATTTATGATATTGTCACCATGTTCCCCAAAACCCCACCCCCTTACCATGTTTACAGAGTTGTTTGCTGTGCATAACTTTACAGTCATGTGCTTTGCACAGTCCGTGTGGCTTCTGTCTGTAAATCGTTAATGTTCTGTACCTTCTGCTAAAACATTGGTGAATTTAACAAGTAGTTATGAGTTTCCTCAAGTATGCCATTGAAAACTTATATTGGACCCTAAAGGCTACTGCAGTTGTTTACCACAAATCAAAGTACAAATCTTCGTTGTTGTTTCTTTTTGGAGTTTCCTAAAAAGCATCTAGACTTTTTGCAATTCAGTGGTAAATGCAAGCACTGGCAGTTTTCCAAAATTGGAGTGAAAAGTGGAAATACAGGTTAATCTGTTTGTCTCGTAGGTGCTATGTCATCCTCTGCTTCCAACTATGCTGAACACTGGTGATTTTTCCACGTTCGTGTGCACTTGGCACCCAATTCTTGCCATACGTTTCACACTGCCAGGTGCAAAGGGGTTTGGTGCTCAGTTAACTTACCCTTGTTGCAACACTCCTGTGAATAGTTCATGCTTTGGAACTGGAACTGTATATTTTGTATTTTAATTTTAAAGCGCCTGTAATTAAAGACAAAAAAACCTATTTGCTTTAATAAAGATATACCTTTAATAATAGGTTATATCTTGTTAAACTAACGTTTCTGCTGAAGATAACTTGCAGCTGGACAGGTACTCATCATTATCTTCAGTAGACTTGTTTTTCATTTACCACAAATAATGTTCAGAAATTCAAAATGGCGCATTATCTAAGATGAAAGGTATGGCCCTTACCTTTTAAACCTACCACTGATGACAGATGACTGCAAAGGCTTGTGAAGCCACAACTGGAGAAATACTATCACTAGCTATGAAAATCCAAGGCATTTGAGTATACAAACCACATAGTTGTCTTTCCACTGGAAAAGTTTCAATTCTTCCTGGCTACCCATGGGCCTGTCAGAGTATTTCTTTGGATCCTAGGTTTGATCAGTAACTGTTCAAGCCTTTAAGATTTTCAATGTCATATCCCAGCCATTCTACAGTTCTCGTTAAGAATGTTGTTTTGAAATGCTGTTCTTCTTTGGCCCTGAACATAGTTATACCATAACTGATGGGTAGAGGTGGCTGAGGACAGAAGGCTCCTTTCTACCCACAGTATTAGAAGGAGAGGAGATTGGATTTATACCCCGCCCTTCACTACCCAAAGGTGTCTCAGAGTGGCTTACAAACTCCTTTCCTTCCTCCTCCCCACAACAGACACCCTGTGAGGTAGGTGGGGCTGAGAGATCTCTTGGCAGAAACTGCTCTTTTTCAAGAACAGCTCTTATCAGAACTACAGCTTGCCCAAGGTCATCCAGCCAGGTGCAAGTGGAGGAGTGGGGAATCAAACCCGGGTCTCCCAGATTAGAGTCCGTGCACTAAACCACTACACCAAACTGGCTCTCTCTATTATTGAGAGCAGCAGCAGTAAATGGCATCCCTGAACCACCTTAGCATTTTTAGCAACTGTGAGTACTTTCTATAAAGGAGCAATTTCTCCTTTGCTATATGAGCTGCTGCTGGAGGTATCATTTAGCAGCTTTAAAATGACTGTGTATGAGCTCTGCTCCTGGGGGAAGAGCCTTGCCTAGAATACATGTGTTACCGTATTAGGAGAGCAACAACCAACTGGTAGTCTGAAGCAGGGGTGTTCTATCTCTGTAGACCATGGCTATGCTAAGTTGGTTCATTGCCATCTTGTAAGGATGATGGTGCCAGCCACCTTAAATAGTTACTAGAATTCTAAATTGGGGGAGGGGGGTTGTTTACAAAACCATTACTGAGCCCCCTAGGTATGCTGCTGGGGGGGGGGGAATACAATGCCATAATATCAGATTTGCACAGAGTTTTATTGTTGATCCCATGATGTAGACTAAAAATCAATACAGCCTTTATAAGGGGGAAGGGAAAATATTTCAGTCCAGTGTTGCCCTCTACTGGTAGCACAGCATAATTATGCTACTGTATTGAATAAGCAGAGGTTGAGTGAAAAATTGACCGTAAGCCCTAGCCTGCTCTTAGTCTGTTTCATGGCTCCCTGTACTAAATGTCTGTAGGGCAAATCTTATCTCTCAAACAGCAGCAAGTTATTACATCGCAACATCTCCTGGTCCTTACTAGATAATAGAATGGGCTTAACACTTTTGCATAGCATTCTAACAAGCACACTTGGCAAACCTTTTATCACACTCTTTTAGACAGCATACAGTGCCTCGTGTTAATCCTGTGTGTCCTGTCACTTCTTTCTGGGGGCACAAAAAGCTTATTTACTGACAAAGCAGCACAATTCAGCTGGATATCACCAGAGACATGGCATTTCCTAGACTGCTGACTCTTCCAGACCCTTCTTCATACTTTCTCCAGGCAGGCATTTGTGCTCAGACACTGTCTGCTGTCTTCTCTGAACCAGGAGATGGAGATGCCTCAGCAATAGTAGCCAAGTAAATCAGATTTCTGTGCAAAGTGTGTTGGTGCCTATTAAAAAAAAGTTAAACACAATGGTAAACAGTCTACCCAGAATGGCTCCCCTAGCCAATGCGTAACTGGTGTGAGAATCTAGGTCATTTAGTGCTCATTCAAAATATGTGAAACACAAAAGGGTTTGATGTGAAGACGGAAAGTCACTTAGACACAGGTGGTCAGGTAACAAGACAGCATATGAGACTTAATGGACGTAAAGCAGCAACAGAAAAACCCTGCCTCTAGCTGCATGTGGGTTCTGGCTACCCCATAAACAATCTGATATTAAAGCTATAGTGCTGCACATATCAAAAAGGTTATCCCATAGCTAGAAAAAAAAGGAGTGCAGTTAAGGTGGTGGAAAGCTTTCCATGTGCAGGCTAAATCATGTTGAGCTTCTTTAATTCAGGAAAACAAGTGGGAGGGTAGGAAGTCATGACAATTCTGTCACCTCTTAGTAGACTGGGAATAATTTCAGGGCAGATAATAGAATGTTCTTCCCTCAACAGCCCATTAACATGGAGTTTATCATGCGATTTGATAGTAGCTGACAGAACGGCACCTGTAGTAAACTGGGTCACTGAAGGTACAAAGCAGTTTTGCACAGGTAGCAGCCCGGTTTAAACTACAGGTATGTGTAAAGCCCTGTGATAAAGTGCTTTTTGGATTAGCTGGTGCCATATTTAAAACAGGCTTTATTTTAAAAAAAAGATCAGACAAATTCAGAGAGATGGTCCATCCAAAAGTTATTAGTTCCAGTAGTTAAACAAAATACCCATGTTGAGACATAGCACACTTCAAAATATCAGGGACAAAACACATATGCTGCCCCCCCGTTAGATTAGAAGAAGAGGGAGAAGAGATTGGATTTATACCCAACCTTGCACTCCATGAAGGAGTCTCAGAGCAGTTTACAATCTCCTTTCCCTTCCCACAACAGATACCCTGTGAGGTAAGTGGAGCTGAGAGCTCTCTCAAGAACCGCCCTTGAGAGAACAGCTCTGAAAGAATTTGTGACTGACCCAAGGTCACAGCAATGCTGAGGGAAGGGTTCATCTTTTCCTTTGTACTGTTTTTCCAACCTGAGGCACTTTGCAAAACTGATTTTTTATCTAACCCTAATAGTTGTTAACAGCTTTATGGGACTGTTTCTTGTAGGGGGCAGGGTTAACACACAAACTCCAGCCACCTCATGACCTCAGTCTGAACTAAGCCCCACACAGCCACTTTAAAAGGTGAAAAAATGGGAGCTCCCATCTGGCTTGGTCCTCAAGTGTGGGGAACAGAGAAGAAAAGACGGTGGCTTTAGTGCTCTGCTTCCAAGGTACCAAGAGGTGCATGTCTGGTCACTGCTGAAAGAGATGGACATCCCATCGGAGCCAGCAGGATCCATTTTCGAGATGAGCTTATATCCCTATGTTAGGGGGGGGTTGATAGGGTCATGTCTGTCAATAGTCTTGGGGAGCACCCCACATAGTTCGAGACCCTTGCCTTATATGGGGAGAGGTGAGACAGTTTACTGTTATCTCCTATTTTGATGCAGCTGCTCCAATGCATTGCTCAAGTCCAATAACATCTATTCTTGTATGTGTCTGAACAATCCAGAAATCTCAAAATTACTATGGCTGTTAGTCTGAATAGAATAGAAAGAAAGGAGCAAATAGCTGTAATAGGTGAGTTTAAGAAGTCACTTACTGCACACATTCTGCAGCTCTTCCTTTATTCTGATATTCGACAATGCACCGAATCAATTGATCATTTTCTTCTAGCAGCTGAAAGCCACAAGAATGATTGGTCACACTGTAGATTACTGAGATTAATTTTAAAAAAGGCTATCAAATTACATAGAGGAAGGCCACATGTTTACACTGCCTGATAACAACAGGCTACAAAAACAATACCCACCTGTTGTTGTTAACCAAGAACTGCATATTGTTGCCCATGTGAATCAGTGGCCACAGCACATACTTATTCATGGCACAATCAGTAAGCTGTTCCAACATTTTAAAGGGATTTTGAGATGTACAATTTCCAGAATTTTTTAAGCTTGGGGGGGGGGGAACAGTTTTTTTCTGTGTGGTTTTTTTCCGGGGGGAATGGAAATTTTTGGAAAAATTGAAAAAAATGCTACATTGGCACTTCTTTTTTCTTTTCCAAATTGAAAGTCATTCTGTTTAGGAACATAAAATATGACTACGGACAGTTTTACTTGGCATGAAATTATCACAACTAGCATATTAAAAATGTAGTGTATCCAAACAATTATTACAAACAGAGTACCCACCCACATGCAAAAACAAAACTGAAACCTTTTTCTTTTCTTGTGACAATAGCACCTCCTAAAGGAATGCATCTTGTTCTTGCATTGGAGAGTTCAGTTTATAACCTAGGACTTGCTTGTCCTCAGTGCACTGAAATGAGATCGATCTGATACCATACATATTTTTTACAAATGATTTGGAAAATATTTGAACACCTTGTCTTAAAATATTTTATTCATCATGTTAAAATAAAACGCTCCATAATCAATTTTTTTATTTTATTTTTTCAATTTTTCCATTTGGGGGGGGGGGAGAATGGCTTCAGGGAAAAAAACTTTTTTTTCTGAATTTTTCCAGTGTTTTCCCGGGCTTTCACATCTCTAGACTCTTGGCTATATAAACACATTAGGACCTTTTAGGATGACTAATTGTTTGGAAAATAGTAGAAAATACTGAGAAAACTGAGAAAAGAGTTCTCCAGAACTCTTCTTTAGGCTGGATGTTCAACAAAAATTAGGTGAAGGCGAGGAGGGAGAGAGACATTTCCATGTGTGATGGAAAATGAACACATATGAAGCTGCCTTATGCGGAGTCAGTCTCCTGTCTGCTCTGACTGGCAGTGGTTCTCCAGAGTCTCAGGTGGAGGTTTTTTCCCAGCAGCTGCAGTCTGGGATCCTTCAGTTGCTGTAGATTGAACCTGGGGACATCTTGTAAGTAAAGCAAATGCTCTAAATATCAAGGCACAGCTCAAATCCACACTATATGCAGTTTTCAGCAAGGTAGAGTACAGCAGCAGTTAAGCAGACTGCACCAGATACAAAATGGACTTCACACTGTCCCAAGGGCTGCTTAGGACAAAGAAGCAAAAAACAGTTCTCCCTTTGAAAAATCAAGGAGCCAGCAGTGGTTCAGAGTTATCGCTAGCACTGATCTGGCCATTGGTATACCAAGAAACATCTCACCACCAGCACCATTTTTTGGATTGGTGAATCGTTCACCCCAAGCTGAAGCTCTAGAGAATTCAAAAGCTTGAATACTACTGTGCCACTGTTTGAAACCATTTTCACAAAAATTATTTGCATTTATAGTCTGCCTTTCTTGCTTGGACTCAAGGCAGATTGTACCAAGTGAGTCAATACAATTGACAGGATGGGACATTCAGCAAACAATACAATAGGATTAGGCATCACACAATCCTCAAAATTTTGCAGGAATTTAAATGCACCCAAATGCATTCACAGAGCTATATAGGCCCCGGTCACACGTAAGGGTTTGGGCCGGGAGAGGGAAGGATCGGGGGCACAGCAAACGGGCGTGATCTCACCGTAACATCTGGGAAGCGGTGCGCACCCATCCCCGATCCGGCCCTTCAGGCCGAAAACCCACTGCAAAAAAGAACCACCCCTAGAGGTGGATTTACCAGAAAGGCCGCGCATTGCGCGGCCATGGGATTGCCAGCGCGTCCTTCTGCCGGCGCATCCGAGGCTCCTGGCCGAACTGCGCATGCTCACACATGCACAGTTCAGCAACCTCCCTCTCTGTGTCGTGGCTTTCTCCTCGGTCTCCGTGGCACCTGATCCTGCCGGGGAGCAAGTGCGCGGTGGCTCACGGGATCTGTGTGATCCTGCCGCCGCATGTCTATTTTGGTGCGGCTTTCAAAAGCCACACTTTGCCCGCGCATTTTCCCCCGTGTGGCAGGGACCGTAGTGAAGCTGCTGCAGGCTGTGATGCCTGGGTGCCCTGTCCCCTCACCCACCCCACAATGTTCCAGAACAATTACCTAATGGCCATGCATGGAACATCAGCTACCCCATAAGAAGTGAACATGTTCTCCACACATCTGGCTCCAGGACCAGCCGAGAATGGCCTCTATTCTGCCCCTTCCCCCCCCCCTCATGCTCAGACACTTGTTCTCTGTGTGTAGATCCTGACTGTAGTCTTATTACCATACATGTTGTCTCTGCGGTCTATTTATTTTGCCAGTCCTTTAAGAGACATCGATCTGTCCGCCTTCTAGATAAGCTAGACATCCCAAAATTGCACCAAGCAGTCAGGCTTCAGATCTTCCATCTCCATCAAGCACTGCTCAATCATCACTGCCTCATAACCGTCCCTTTCATGCAGCGCCACAACAACCCCCACAAGCTTTCAAAAGCCACACTTTGCCCGCGCATTTTCCCCCGTGTGGCAGGGACCGTAGTGAAGCTGCTGCAGGCTGTGATGCCTGGGTGCCCTGTCCCCTCACCCACCCCACAATGTTCCAGAACAATTACCTAATGGCCATGGAACATCAGCTACCCTATAAGAAGTGAACATGTTCTCCACACATCTGGCTCCAGGACCAGCCGAGAATGGCCTCTATTCTGCCCCTTCCCCCCCCCTCATGCTCAGACACTTGTTCTCTGTGTGTAGATCCTGACTGTAGTCTTATTACCATACATGTTGTCTCTGCGGTCTATTTATTTTGCCAGTCCTTTAAGAGACACCGATCTGTCCGCCTTCTAGATAAGCTAGACATCCCAAAATTGCACCAAGCAGTCAGGCTTCAGATCTTCCATCTCCATCAAGCACTGCTCAATCATCACTGCCTCATAACCGTCCCTTTCATGCAGCGCCACAACAACCCCCACAAGCAGCAGCAGCAGCAGCACAAACATGAGAGATTAAGGTTACCCTTCTAGCCCCCGTCAGGCACTGCAGAGCAACCAAGGCAGGGACAGAGGAGGAGGGTGAAGGGAGGCGGATCGGCACCACCGACTCTGTCGCTGCGGTGCTTCGGAGGAGGCCTGGAAGAGCCGGATTCCTCAGCCCAGGCCCAGGTCTTGCAGAGCTGCTGTGCGGATAAAAAGGGGAAGCCACTTAAGACTCCAGAGCGGATGGAGCTACGCTGCCCTGAACGACGTCGAGAAAGAACGTGCCTGATGCAGCTGCCCCTCTCCCCAGCGCCGCTCACCCGCTGCAACGTCTCCGGGGTCACCTCCACTTTGCTCCGCAGCTTCTCCGGCACGAAAGCCACCGACATGGCTGCCCCGTGGCGGACGCCACCAGAGCCCCGGCGCGCAAGAGACGCTGGGAGCAATCCACCCGGCCTCGCAGGGATTGGCTGCTGCTTCTGGCGTCAAAGCCGCTTCTATTTCCGGGTTAGGGCTGGGCGTTGAGGTTTCTGGGTCAACCTTCACCGCGGCTTCTCTGCATCCGGCCACTTGCTGGGTGTATTAAGACCCGGGCAGATAATAACGCTGTTTAAGGGCGTGAAGGAAAGTCTCCGCTGAGTCAAAATTTTTGGGGGAGTTTGTTCACGCGACGCGTACACGAGGGGCTGTTGTGTGAATGCCAGCGTTTACTATTCCTTTGTATTGTAAACAAACAGCAATTGTTTAGTGTGTAAAGTGTAATGTAAAGTGTGTGTACACACACACACTTTACAGTCCCTCCCTCTCCCAAATTCACCCTCAAATCTCTAGCAAGAACAACAAGAGAGAGAAAGAGAGAGTGTGTGGCTACCCTTCTGGAACAATACATTCTACTGTAGCTGAATGGTGCATCCTGTGTCCTGCATTCAGAAGGTCTCGGGTTCAATCCTTGACATCTCCAGTTAGAAGGATCAGGTAGAAGTAGGGACGTCAGCCTCTAGGTGGAACCTGGGGATCCCTTGGAATTACAGCAGACTACAGAGGTCCCCTTTGGAAAAAATTATGCTTTGTAGGGTGGACTCTATGGCACTGTACCCCACTGAGGTCCCTGTCCTCCCCAGGCTCCATCCTCAAATCTCCAGGAGTTTCCCAACCTGGATCTGGCAACTTTGGTTGGGAAATTATCCCCTGCCGCTAGCCAGGGGGACCTGGTAACCCTATGGGAAAGGCCCCAGTGAGTTGCTGCTGGAGTAACCAAGACTGACCTTCATCAAGAAATGGTGTGACTTAGGATGGCTGGACTCAAAGCAGTGCTTCAGGTACATTAACATAAGAGAGAAATTATTTTAGGGTCTTGCGTGCATGATAGCTACTGTAAGCAGGAGCAAATCTACTCTCCTTGCCTGCCTACTCTAAACTCATCTATCAAGATAAGGCCTTTGAAACCTACCAAAAATAGATGGTTTAATCTTGAGTGTGAGTGTCTAAAAAAAGTTTGCTATCAGGCACTTATGGAATGCAGATGTGCTAGCTCTTCAGTTACACTACAAGCTTTTCTTTTGGGGGGAGGGGAAAGCATATTGACAAGCTATAAGCAAAGAGTAAAAAAGAAGCTTGTCTTACTAATTGGCAAAAAACTAATCAACTGCCAGAAACAAGAGGAATTTTAGTGAATTTTGAAAGCTGGTTAGTTCTGTTTTACGTCCTGGAAATTTATTTTCATCGATCTCCTCACATACCTGGAAAGAACACTTTGCTAACATCTTCTTTAGTTTTGTAGTAACTATGATTAACTGAAACCCAACTGAATTACTGGAGTGCCCCCCCCCGTCAACCCAGTTTGGCTGCATGAAGTTTGAATTCGGCTGAGTAGTCACGCACTGTTTTCCAATTAGTTTTGCAATATCTCAAGTGAAGAATGGAAAGGCCCCCAGTGTAGATTTAATTCCACCAGACCTCTTCAAAGCTGGTATTTCATGGTGGAAGGATATATTGGCAACTGCATTCACGGAGATAAATGCGACAGGAGTTATGCCATTCACTGGAGACATGCTATCATCATACCAGTCTATAAGAAGGGAGCCAAAGCGGACCGGTCCAACTAAAGGCCAATCACGCTTTTATCAGTGGCCAGAAAGTGCTTTGTCACTTTATTACTGACTTGTGGACTGGTTGGGGACTAATAAAATCCTGGGAAGGGAACAGGCCAGTTTTAGGCAAGGGGCTGGTATAGATGATCATCTTCTGACATTACAGTTCTTAATAATAACCAATAGTAAAATACAGTTCTTAATAATAACCAAGAGTCAGGGGATCCTTTCTGCTGCCTTCATGGATTTGAAGGTGGCTTTTGATACCGTACCTCATGCCCAATTGTGGCACAAGCTAAAGTCAACATCTATTAATAAGAGACTGTTGGCTTTGATTGAGGTTCCGTATTCTAATCCCACTATACAAGTCTATTGAACTGTTTAACACCAAGGTGGCTGCGCAAAGTTTATATGGGGCTGGTATTTAGATTGATAAAATAGTTTTTTCTTAAATTCCTGTGTTCCATCTCCAGAATTCTGAATTGTGTAGCAGGGGTAGCCTTCTGAGCTAAATTGGGACAACAATTTCTTGAAGGTTTGGTTGAAGGCTCTTCCTCTCAGAGTTGAAATTATACACTCTGACACCCAAGAGGTTTATCCTGGCTTGATCAGAGAGGATTCTTGTGTTTCCCAATGGGATAAACCTGTTGAGCAATGACTCCAGCTCTTCAACCTTTTCTTGGGGCTCCCTTCATCCAAATACCAGAAAGGAAGCTATGGGAACATAAGAACGTAAGAGAAGTCAGTGTTGGCTCAGGCCAATGGCCCATCCAGTCCAACACTCTGACACATAGTGGCCAAAAATACCAGGTGCCATCAGTGGGGCCAGGACACTAGAAGCCCTCCTACTGTTGCCCCCCCCCCAGCACCAAGAATACAGAGTATCACTTGCCCCAGACTGAGAGTTCCTATCTATACCTTGTGGCTAATAGCCACTGATGGACCTCTGCTCCATACGTTTATCCAGTTCCCTCTTGATGCCATCCATGTGTGTAGCCACTGCCACCTCCTGTGGCAGTGAATTCCATGTGTTAATCACTCTTTGGGTGAAGAAGTACTTCCTTTTATCCGTTCTAGCCTGACTGCTTAGCAATTTCATTGAGTGCCCATGAGTTCTTGTATTGTAAGAAAGGGAGAAAAAGTACTTATTTCTCTGCCTGCTCTGACCCATGCATAATCTTCTAAACCTCGATCATGTCACCCTTTAGTCATTATTTCTCCAAGCTAAGAGCCCCAGGCGCTTTAACCTTTCTTCATAGGGAAAGTGTTCCAACCGTTTTATCATTCTAGTTGCCCTTTTATGCACTTTTCCCAATGCTATAATATCTTTTCTGAGGTGTGGTGACCAGAATTGTACACAGTATTTCAAATAAGGTTGCACCATCAATTTATACAGGGACATTATGATACTGGCTGATTTGTTTTCAATTTCCTTCCTAATAATCCCCAGCATAATGTTGGCCTTTTTTTATTGCAATTGCATACTGTCTCAACATCTTTAGTGAGTTATCTACTACGACTTCAAGATCTCTCTCTTGGTCAATCTCCACCAGTTCGGACTCCTTCAACATGTATTTATAGTTAGGATTTTTGGCCCCAATATGCATCACTCTGCACTTGGTCACACTGAACCCCATTTGCCACATTGATGCCCACTCGCCCATCCTGAACAGATCCCTTTGGAGTGCCTCACAATCCTCCCTGGATCTCATCACCTGGAACAATTTAGTGTCATCCGCAAATTTAGCCACTTCACTGCTTATTCCCAACTCCAAATCATTAATGAACAAGTCAAAAAGCATTGGGCACAGTACTGAGTCCTGTGGTACCCCACTGCTTACCACCCTCCACTGTGAAAATTGCCCATTTATATCCATTCTCTGTTTCCTATTAATTAGCCAGTTTTTGATCCACAAGAGAACTTGTCCTTTTATCCCATACCAGGGCTCTTTTTGTAGAAAAAGCCCAGCAGGAACTCATTAGCATAATAGGCCACACCCAACAGCAGGAACTCATTAGCATATTGGGCCACACCCCTGACAGCACAGCTCATTAGCACATTAGGCCGCACCCACATGTTACCAGAAGTGTGATTATCCAGCCACACCCACCTTTTGCTCTGCTGCGCGTGGCCAACTTGGGAGCCAGCCGGAACTCCGTTCCTGTGCGTTCCTGCCGAAACATAGTACTGCCCATAACTATTGATCTTACTTAGGAGCCTTTGATGAGGAACGATTAAGATCTGTACAGCACAACATGTTTTTCTACTTAATTTGCTGGTATTCTTCTATATGTTGAGCTTCCCAATTATTATTATTATTAATAATAATAATAATAATAATTCAATTTATACCCACCCTATCCCACAAGTGTATATGATATCTAATAGATTACATTTGTGCACATGCTTGTTAACCTGAGGGCTCTAATCTGGAGAACCGAGTTTGATTCCCCACTCTTCCACATGAAGGCAGCTGGGTGACCTTGGGTCAGTCTCAGCTCTCTCAGCTCCACCTACTTCACAGGGTGTCTGTTGTGAGGAGAGGAAGATGATTGTAAATCACTCCAAGACACCTTTGGGTAGTGAAAAGCGAGGTATAAAACCCAACTCTTCTTCTCCTTCTCTGCATATGCTCACTCCCTATCATTTTGTGGTTGGCTCAGCATCCTGTGGCAGCCATTTTGTGATTGAACCCATTGCTCTGTCTCAGAATTCCAAAAGTGTACATATCCTCAAGAGGGTTGGGGACCCCAATTTACCCTGTGTAATCTGCCTTTTGCCTCAGTGAGACAGGCAGACTATAACTAATGTAAATAATTTTTTAAAATCAGATTCAGGAGAAACTGCAAACAGTGAAATGGACACGGGTATGATCTGAGGAAGGTATAATTCCTACGCTATAGGGCAGTGTTCTTCACTCCATGTGCTGGGAACTTGGACCCTGGGCAGCAGCTGCCAGACAGAGTAGACAAGACTGACGAGGATTCACTGATAGTCTGACTCAGTATATCATGTGTGATGATTCTCACAGAATTGCTAAACCTGGTCTCCGTGATACTCTTTGGCACACTAAACAGTACAGTCCCATACAGAGTTTCTCACTGATTCCAGCTCTATATAGAGCTTGGACTGTAAGGGGAGTATTTTTCAGGCAGCAGTTTGCCTATGGTTTCAGTCCAGAAAATAAGTATCCATCACCTACCAGAAAGCTGGGAAATGCTGGCCTAGGGTATGCTGACCAACTCCTTGCATGTTTAGCCAGAAGCAAGTCTCCCCAGACTTACTCCACAGAACAGCTGCTCCAATATTATTATTATTTTTGCCTGCAACA